CGAGGCGACTGCATGTCAATGACCGCCTGTACCTTCTCAGGGTTCGCCTCTATTCCTCTCTGGTTGATAAGGAATCCGAGAAATTTCCCAGACTCAACTCCAAATACACATTTCTTGGGATTGAGCATGACATGGTGCCGCCTGAGTGTGGCGAAAGTTTCTCGGAGGTCCGTCAGATTATCTTTCTGAAGTTTAGTCTTAACAATCATATCATCAATGTATGCCTCGACGTTTCTCCCAATCTGATCAAAGAACACTGTGTTTATCATTCGTTGGAATGTAGCCGGGGCATTCTTAAGACCAAACGGCATGACCGTATAACAGTATAATCCCTGATCAGTGACGAAGGCCGTCTTCTCCTGATCTTTCTTCCACAAAGGAATTTGATGAAAACCAGAATAGGCGTCCATAAAACTCATCAAGGCATGGCCGGCTGTTGAGTCGACCAGGTTATCAATTTTGGGCAGAGGGTAACTGTCTTTGGGGCACGCCTTGTTCAAGTCTGTGTAGTCTACACACATTCGCCAGGTGCCATTCGGCTTTTTAACAAGTACCACATTTGCAACCCAATCTGGGAAGTAACATTGCCGAATGAACCCTGCATCAAGTAATTTTTTGACTTCGGCGGCGGCCGCCTGACCTCTTTCTTCACCATGGTTCCGCTTCTTTTGCCGTACCGGCTTCTTTTTCGGATCCACAGCGAGTTTGTGTACTGCCAGATCAGGACTAATGCCTGGCATTTCATGGACTTCAAATGCAAAGATGTCCTTGTATTCTTTCAACAGGTTGTGAAAGTCATCACCAAGGTTTCTCAGAGCAGTCGTCCCAACTTTGACTGTTCGGTCAGGGCGGGAGTCGTCTAATATCAGGTCCGTATGCTCACCAGCCGGCTGAGGGCGGAACTCATCCGGCCGGTCCTCTGCCAATGATTGCTATTTTCTTGCCTTTCTGGCGGACTCTGTCTGGGACGCCTTTCTTTTTCTGTCGCCTGTTTCTTGAACAGGCGCACTTTCCTTGACATTGTCAAGGTCTGTTTTTTCTCCACTTGACCCAGTGGCCTTAGCAGTGGGTTTGACATCCGAGAGATAGCACTCTCGGGCCATCCTCTGATCTCCCCTTAGGGAGCCGACTGTTCCATTGTCCCTTTCAAACTTAAGCAGCATAAGTGACGGGATTATAACAGCCTTGGCACTATTCAGGGTTGGGCGACCCAGAATCATGTTGTAGGCAGAGAGTTCCTCTACAACTAGGAATCGGACTACCATGTGTCGTCCTTCCCCTTTTTCGCCCAGGCGGACGGGTAGATCAACTCGTCCCAGTGGGTGGACGACTCCTCCTCCAAACCCTATTAAAGGGTGGGAGGCCGGATGTATGCAGTCCGTCTGATATTTCAGTTTTGACAGACATTTGCTGCTGATGAGATCTGAAGAGCTCCCAGTATCTATGAGGATTCGACCAACTCTCTGGTTGGCCACTTTACATTCAATAACGAGAGGGTCGTCATGCGGCCCCCTTATTCCTCCTAGATCCTCTTCAGTGATGACAATCTCAGGAAATGTATATTTGGACGGTCGTTCTTGGTGAACGGAATTTACATCTAACCGCCTTATATTATCTTTGTTGCCCCTAATAGTGGGGCCGCCTCCTGAGAAGCCGCCTGCAATGGTGTAGACGACTGCATCATCTGTATCGGAACTGTCGGCCTGTTGATTCTTTTTGGCCGACTGCTTTTTTGAGGAAGTATTCCCCGTAGATTTCTTGACATAAGTGTCAAGATCACCTTGATCAGCCAAGCGGTCTAGGTACCGCATGAGACTAATGCAGTCGTTGGTGTGATGACCAATGTCATCATGATAAGCACAGATTTTGTCTTGGTTCCGGTTGCTCGCAGAACCCTTCATGGGGAGCGGTTTCTCAATTGAGAGCCGTCCCTTTATTTCTTTTAGGATAAACTGGTTATCCTTGTTAAACACATACTTTGGGGAGTATGGTTTGAATTCCTTTTTCTTCTTGGCCGGCTGTTTAGAGGAATCAGCCGCCCAGACCCCTTTTCTTTTTTCATCTTTGTTGGACGACTGTTTCTGTCGTCCCTCTCTATTGTCGAACCTCTTCCCGTCCGACTGTTTCATTGTACACAGATCAGTCGCCTGTATCTAGGCTTCTGCTTCAATCAAGGCCTCTTGAAGAGTCGCCACCCTTTTTCGAACTAAATCAAATTTGAAGGTAGACCCGTCTTTGAGACCTCTAAAAAAGTCAGTATAAGCTACCTCATCCGGTAACCCTTGAATCTGTATTCTCATCAGGTTGAACCGCCTGATGTAGGAACGAAGCCCCTCCTTTTCACCCTGCTGAATTGTTCCCAAATCAAGGGTCGTTTTCTTCGCAGGGATGTTCATTGCAAAGTTGGAGGCAAATAAGTAAGCAAGCGTCCTGAAACTGTTTACACAACCAGTCGGCAGGTTGCCGAACCATTGCTGTGCAATTCCCTTGAGAGTTGCTGGGAAACACTTGCACCAAGTGGGATCATCCAACCCTTGAAGGTACATCAGGTTGGTGAATGCCATCAGATGGTCTTCCGGGTTAGTAGTGCCATCATAGGCGCCTACTAAAACATTTTTTACTTTGGCCGGCTGAGCGGCTTCAGTAATTTCCTTGGAGAAGGCCGACGGCTGTTCACCAAGTCTAAGCAGCCGTAGCTGCCAGTCCATAGGTTGGACGTTTTTTGCTGCAGGTCCACCAAATGGAGGTGGCTGCATAAAATATTGTTGTTGCGGCACAAATGGCAAATTTGGTACCGCCTGCGCACTATGAAAGCCAGACTGACGGGAGGTGCCGCCTGACTGACTCTCATGGTACGACTGAGTTGGCCTCATCGAGGCATTTCGCAAACTGTCCTGAAAATTTGAAGTAGAAGCCGACTCTGATAATCGGTCACTCTTCTTCTGCTCTAGCAGGTGCCGAGCATCTGTGAACGTTTGCTTTGACCCGTCCGCCTGAATATGACGAACCGGTTTCCTATTTCCCGTAGGATAACGGAGTTTTGTGAAATCAAGAGCAGACGGCTCCCGCTTCTTAGATTTAGGATGGGGAGTCGCCTCTCGCCCTCGAACTGGCTTCCTCTTCAGTGAAGTGGAAGGTTTTTTGGCCGCCTGCTCTTTGACTGAAGCAGGCGGTTTTTTGTTGATCAACTCTTGGATCTCTCCCTTGAATCCCCTCATGAAGGTCATGAGTTCGTTCCTTGTGATGGGAGCAGACCCATCAGTCGGCTGTTGCCGAGCAAGCGGTGCGCCTGCTGGCTCGCTTCCTGTTTGAAGATACTCCCGTTCCCTTATTTCAGTATGACGGGTACGGCGGGCCCTTAGGGTCCCGTCTGGAGCTGTATGAGTTTCAACTTCAAATTCACTTTCGGTATCATGGTCCGACTGAACTTGAGGGTCGTCTAGGGGACGCCTCTCTTCTGGGGTCGGTACAGACTTGGATGCCATCTCTGAAGTACTCTCCCCACAGACGGCGCCAAATGTTTTGGGGTTTTCTGATGTCCTGCGGGAGAGCTACAATTCCGAGACTGGAACCGGACGCCTGTACCTGCAAAATAACGGAGACTCCTGAGAGCTCCGCCTCCAACGGTCAAGTTAGTACCTGATTAAGGAGTAATTAATACAGAAATTAAAGTAATAAGGTCTCTCTAGGTGAGAGTATTTAATGTAGGTAATCTGCTTTGCTAGCGAGATCAGCCGGTTATTAGTGTGTTCCGTAATGTTTCTCCTCCGTTCCGTTAATTATTCCCTCCTTTGATTAATGAGGATTAATCGAGTATTTATAGCCTTGGGAAGCGTGCAACTCTCTAGGTTTAAGGTAAACCTAGGGCCGATCGGGCTTCTAGACTGAAATGGGCCTTGACGGCCGGTTGTCCCATTTGGCATGGGTGGACACGTGGCGTGTCTTAAGTGGTCCGTGGAGGACGCGTGGCGGAACCTGGTTGGTCCACTTGTCAAACGGCGCTTGGTGGATAAAAATCCCCTAATCAAAACTCATAATCAAGCCTAACTATATAAGAAGTGGACTTTCTAGACTTTTAGCAAGCAATGCTCATATAGGTAATAAATTTCTATAAATCCTTATGTATATATTTTAACAAGTAATCATGTGATATGACACATCTAATAAGCATATACTCCATACTCAATAAACCAAGAACTTTAGAAGATGAATTAAAAGCTTATATATACATCATCCAATGTCTGTATATATTATTAGGGCATGCTCTCTTCCGTTGAAATTCAGTTCAGTTCAGTTCATCTCTTAATTTACGTCTAATGATATAGTTAATGAATAATGATATAAAGTCAAATTTCATTCTTTTAAGCTCTTATTACAACGACGACGACGACAACAACAACAACAATAATAACAATAACAATAACAATAACAATAACAATAACAATAACAATAACAATAACAATAACAATAACAATAACAATAACAATAACAATAATAATAATAATAATAATAATAATAATAATCAATAAGTAATAAATAATAATAATAATAATAATAATAATAATAATAATAATCAATAAAAAATAACAATAATAATTGAAATAATAATACTAATAATAATAATCAATAAATAATAACAATAATAATTGAAATAATAATAATAATAATAATCATCAATAAATAATAATAATAATAATAATAATAATAATCAATAAATAATAATAATAATAATAATAATAATAATAATAATCAATAATTAATAATAATAATAATAATAATAATAATAATAATAATATGTACATTTGTATATACACATATGTATAGTAATAAATAATCAATAAATAATCAAAGATCACTAATCCGTAGTTAAAAATTACTAATTAATAAGTTCAGTTCAGTTCAGCTCAGCTCAGCTCAGTTCAGTTCAGCTGAGTTCAGTCAATCGGAATAGGCCCTTAGTCTCGATTTAATTGCATTATGTAGAATTGTGGACACAAGTATTATTTAATTTTAATACTAATTTTTTGGGCCGAACCGTTCATGAGCTTACAAGTCAAATATGCTAGATTTTGAGTTCAAATCATTTAACATTTGAACTAGCTATGTTTTGAGATCGAACTCGACTTCACAATTCAATCCTGAATTGTTAGCTAATGGCTCATGCCCATCACTAGAATACTAGATACATCATACATGCATACATCAATTACACATGCATGTCACAGCTAGTTCTGAAAATTATAGACTAGTAATGATCATTCATAGTATCTTCCAACATAAGAGGTTTGTTAGATTTGTTCAAGTGTTCAACCACGGAACTCATCCATGAACTTCTTGTGGAAATCCGATATACGCTTTACAATGGCCGGGATCTTAGTCTCCTGGAGCAGAATTGTGCACCTGATGTGCCAAGTGCCTGGAACCTTTGAAACACAGCACAATACATACAAGGTCAGCCATAAACCAAAAAAATGGAGAAAAGAAAAGGGGGGAAAAAACAAGGCCGCCTTTTAAAGAAACATCTCCAAGTTATGATTTTATGTCCTGTTAGATAAAAGGTTTCCAGATGAAAAGAACAAAACTCGTAAACCTCGCCTTATAACTAACCTGCCCAAAACCAGTTCCTGGAATGACGGCAATCCCAGTCTCTTTTAGTAAGCGAAAAGCATAGAATGCATCAGGGGCAATGTGCTCTGATTCAGCTGCTTTTATCGCCTTCTGGGGAAGATGAATGCGAGGGAATAAGTACATGGCTCCCTCTACTTTGTTGCATGTCACGCCTTCTAAGCTATTGAATGCATCCTCTAGAGTCTATCAATTCACGAAATATAGTTACCAAAAATACAACGATAATTTTAATGTATCTGAAATTGAATTTACCAGTGCACGCCTAGCCAAGGATGAAAGGATTCCCTTTTTCTCAGCAGAATACACTTCATAAGATTCATCTCCAACCTAGACCACAGTACATATAAAAAAAAATAGATTTTGAAGAAAACAAGATGTCCCTTCCATAGCTCAAAACAAATTGGCATCATCAAGCATGGCTAGCAGCCTAGCATGACAAGCAAGAAGTTATTGACTTCAACTACTAAATAAAGTTACAAAATAGGTCTATTACTATCATACATCGTTGGAAATTGGCATCACAATGCCACCATAAGCTGGTATCTGAGCTACATTATTAGGTCATTCTCAGGCCTTCTCAAAATAAAAGGAAAAAAAGACGAAGAATGAGTGTCCTCAATAATCAATCACCAAGGGGATGCCATGCAGGTTTCAAAAGGGGCAGTATTATACTATTATATACCGATAATACCAGCCCTTGTGTGTTTGCCAACTAGAAAAGATTAAGCACCATTTCAACTCATTTTCCTTGTACTACAAAGTGTTCCACTGGTTGATTTCTTGGTTACAAAAGCCATGCACATTTTAGAATTTGGCCAGATGTAATGAAAACTCTCGAACTACATTGAGAGTAGTGCAAGGAAAATGCTATTCAAACTGCCGCGACAGTGTATGTTATGGTCCAATTTGTGTGTTGACACATGACTGTGTGTGGAAATTGTGCAACCCTAATGCAACGTGTAGCAAGCTTAAGCTATGTTGTAGTACAAAGAATAGAACTCAAGTTTCAGGGGCTTGGGAACGCTTAGCTGGACAAGCGAGGCAGAAAGATGAGAATGAGCATTTTGAGAGCATCAATAATGTAGGGTGAAGGGGAAATAAACAAAAGGACAATATCAAAATTAATTACGGGCTGAGGAAAGAATCTTTGATTCTCATTTTTCAACCATTGCTCCCAATAGAGGATTAGAGGGATATATTGGAAATAGAATATATCCCCAATGAACACTAAAACAGTAGTAACATCATGTTGTAATCTAAAGCCTAGAAAACCTAAAGAAAAGTACAAGCAAGCATGAAAATAAAGAAAGCAAACGCAAAAGGGGGATGGATTCTAACACTATGACTTGCTCAAAATAATATTCGACAGTTGATTAAGGGTCATTTAAACAAGTTTGTAATAGAGTTGCAGCTAATTTTCCAAAGAAAACAAGTGTAAATAATAGCAATAGGCTTGATGAGTCAAAGTAGGCATTGGGGAGGCCTTCGTAGAAGGTAAGCCTTACCCTAGGGATGGTTGCATGATGTACGCAGATAGATTTTCCATATTATTCAATACAAGTATATGTCTTTCTTAATGATTATATAAAAATAATATGTATCGCTTAGGGTAACGAAAGAACAAGACTAAATATTGATGGAAAGAATTACCTTTGGTGGGCTCATGACAAGGCTGGTGAGAATCTGACCAGTTATATTCGAATTACATGAATTGATAGAAGCAACTTTATAGATTTGTTCAGCTATGTCGGCACTAAATCCTGTAACTTCCATGTATCCACCTCTTTTCTCACATTCTCCATAATATCCTAGAGCCACAATAGAAAGAAAGGCCAAAGCTTATTTAATATAATAAGCTTTATTAATCTTTGGTTTTATTTAAATGTAACCCAGCAGGCACAGGAGCAAGGTACCTTCAGAAACTGCCTGAAATGAAACCAAGGGGATATCCTTCTCCTGATAGCCCATAGAACGTGCAATTTTCTTAAACGATTGAAACTTCTTGTCGGGAACATACACATTTTCCTGGTAAACCTGTTTTGGACATCATAGCACCAAAAGTGATTAGTAATTTAACTCAAATTAATGAGATTCATCTAATCTATTAGAGCACAAAAATCATGCAGAACTTGTGAAAAGATTAAGAAATATTTCTCTTATTTTCATTACATAAATCTTTATATATACAAAATTTTAATGGATAAATTGGGCTAACCTCGTCTGCCAGAAGCACAATGCCTTCTTTCTTGCATAACTCAACAATTTGCTGCTGATTTTCCTCAGAAAGAACCTGAAGGACAACAGCCAATTTCAGACAATGTCACTAAACTCAAACAAGTAAGGAGACAACCAAAGTTCATATTCCAATAGAAGAACACATAATACTATATCCTCAATACTTCACAAAAGAGTTAAAAAATCAACAGATTCAACTCACCTGTCCAGTTGGGTTGCCAGGGTTTATCACAACCAAGGCTCGAACTGTTACCCCCTTTGACCTGGCCGCTTCTAATTGACTCTTTATCTCTGAAATCTCCAAACCCCATCCGGTTGCTTCATCAAGGCAGTAAGGAACCTGTCAATGGCAAAGAAGACTTCTTCCCATCAAATAAATTCAGACATTACATCAGCTTTAAAGTTGCTTATGGGGGATATAACTGCTTTCAGATTAGTATCATAAACACCCACATACAAACAGGGAAAAAATTGGAAATGTCATAGAGTTGCTAAAAAATTTCAACATAAAATGCAAACATACCAGAGTTCCACCATGGAGAGCTATTGACGCAGAGTACAAAGGATAATGCGGAATAGGGCAAAGGATTCCATCTAGCTCGGACCTCAGAAGTAACTGCATCATAATATGCACCTATACATAATGACAGAACATAAATCCACCATTTGGATCTAATATAAACTGGAGTTATGGACTTACAGGAAAAATCTAGTCTATGACTTAATAAAAGCACCTAACCCCAGGGCTTGCACCATCAGTCAAATAGATATCATTGGCATTGGATGGAAAACCGTCACGTTCTTCAATTCCATAAGCAATTGTTTCACGTAGTCCCTTAATACCCTATCAAATCACCAAGCCAAACAAAAACTCGTTACAGAATGGTGAACATATTCAATTCATAAGAACACTATTATAGAACAAAAGAAATCACTTGGTCCATTTGATGGAAGAGGGTATTATATTCATCCGTCTATTACATCGAACAAGGGAAACAACTACAGTCTTCTCCCTCAAATATTCTTCCCTTTCTACTTTAACAACATATCATTACCTGAGTGTGACTATATCCACCAGTTGTTCTTCCAGGTATCTGATCCAGGATCTGCCTAGCTCTCTCGATTGAATCAGCACTGCATATAATAAAAAAACAAAGGTGTAAATACTACAGCGACTACAGGCGTACAGCCCCTTACTAGATTGATTTTGCCTTGCTTTTATTGATCAAATAATACAAAAACGTATAAAGAGAGGGGAAAAAAAAGTGCTCCTTGTTTATTAAAATCAGCAACCAACTATACAAAATACTCCGTAGAGACATAATAACAAATTCCTGGCTTATGTTAAAAAAAGTCACACATGTTTTGGTTTTTTAATATAACTTGATATAAGCTAAGGAATGAATATAAAAGCATATGGACAACCAAATCAAGTCAGAAAGAATACCTGAAGAGTTTCTGTGCTTCACTTCTATCCAAAAAGCTTGGAAGACCACACAGTGCAAGAACCTGATACACATGGAGAAATAATAGATCTACGAAGTATAAGGTATGATAGATTTATAGTATAACTGATAGTGACACTCCTTACTTTGGTGACTAACCTCTCGGAAAAATGTGATTGGCTGCTGCCCGAGAGATTGAGGATTTCCCATATTACAGACAACTATCTGCACAGGCAATAAGAAGCTCATGCTGCAAGCTTGAGACAAGACACGAAGTACTGCAATCCGCTAACTAGTCTTAAATTACAAAAGAAAAGTGGTATTCAAGTTTTGACCATAAAGGTGAGATAGTTTCATGATATTTGTTGATATTATTGCAATGCAGGACACATCTAGAAGACTATAACACAAGTGGCATTGAAGGGATTAGAGGTGAACAATCAATTGCATATGCACTATAACATAGCTAAATGAACTCCCTTAACAAAACGACAGCAACTCAGTTACTCTCGGCATCAGCAAATTAACAACATTAGCTTATGTGAAATTCCTTTAGAGGGATCGGAGAAGCAAGGAAACTAGATTATACCTCATCAAAGGGGAGAGAACCAGGATTCTGCTTCAATTGTTCTTGCAACCTCTGCAAGAAGCAATACAATAACACAATCAGAGAAGCAACAACGTTGTAACAGACACATCTACCATAAAAGAAATGGTCTTGCTCATTTCAAATTATCATACTCCCTCCTATTCTAAATAAGTGTAGCTCTAAATTATTGAGCATAGATTAAGGAAGTAGGTTAAAGCCATCTTACATGTCCTCTTTGTTTAGATTTAATAAAATACTATGTATCATACAAAATAATATTGTAATGTATAGAGTCTTTTGGGAATAGGTTTTGATCTAATGAGATGGACATTGTAAGAAAGCTTGTCAACATATTGCATTATAACAGTAAAGTTAGAATTATTTTAAAATATAAAACTTTTTTTTTCCTAAATCAAACCCCAATTAATGCAACCTACATTATATTTTCTTTGGTTCACTATAGATAACTTAGTTGATTTAGGCATGTTTATCAATGCATTACTCTAACCCATACGAAAAAATAATACAAGGTTCAAGGTTGATACATTGAGATAAACTTTATAAGATCAATGCATTACTCTAACCCATACGGTTATATTGTTTTCCTCATAAATCAACAAAGATAGTCAAAGTAAATTATGTGGATAGCGTTAAAAGTCAAATGGACCATCTTGTTAAAGATGGAGGAAAGAGCTTTTACTCCTTACATACAACCACTCTAATTTATAGTTGTGTCCACATTATACATTAAAATCAAGTACAAATTGCTAAATATTCTCAGGTATACCGAGGCTATTTTTATGTTCATCTGAAATCATCATACTCATCAGTCATCACCTAACTTTAGGTCTACTCGAGGACAAAATAGACATCTAATAACAAGACATTGAAAGCTACATATAAGAAAAACAGTAGTACAGTACTGAATTATCTTGTCAAGACTAACAATACTCAAGTTTTTTTTTTAAATAAAATTTTATAAAAAAATAAATAAATAAATAAATAAATAAAACCTTACCATAGCATGTGTAACAATGGCTCCACGAACAGCAAATTCACATTTCAAGACCTAGGGGAAAAATTAACATAATTTAGAAGCATATCAGATTAAAATGCATTTACAAAAACAGCATAAATAAATAATAACCCATCAATCAATTATAAATTCAGACAAAGATTAAGAAAATAATGAAACCCAAAATGGGGAGATAAAAGATTAAACCTTTGGATTAATGGTTTGAAGAGTAACTTGAGGAAATAACCCAGAAGAAGATTCCAATGAAGAAGAAGAAAAACTTCTTGCGATAAATTGCAAATACTTAGAATTTTTAGCAACGAATCTCCTCATTATTGTCGCAAATTAATGTTGCAGAAATGTGACCCTTGAATGTTTTGTTAAAGTAGAGTAAGCGGGTGTTGGAGTATTTGTTTGTTGGAGCAAATTCAGTGGGGCCACAAACCCCCAAGTACCAGGTGCTGAGTGAGCTTTGCGATGATTGTTGAAGTTTTTTTTTGACAGATGATTGTTGTCTTGTTGAAGTTGATGTTTTAGTCCCGTCCAAATAAAGTTGATACCACTCTTGTTAAACATCGCTCCCATTTTAAAGGGTAACGCTCGCATTTTGACTTGAAGTTCCAATTTTACCTCTAACAATAAAATACGGTTTTTTTTTCACTTTTCCATTCATTTGGGTTTGTAGATCAATCCTAAGCTCCAACTCTCCAGCTCATTCTTACCTCATTCACTATCTCTCTAACTCTCTAAAAAAAACTTGAAACTCTAAGTCTGAAATTTTTTTGTTAATAAAAAAAAAAACAACAATCATCAAAAACACAAAAAAGATGGGTGATTCGAGGCGAATAAGGCTAACATTCGGAGGAAGGAGTTTGGGCAGCGGTGGAGGTAGCGGCGGAGGCGGGGCGGTGGCGGATTCGACGGCGAGCAGGTAAATTTTTTTTAAAAAAAAAAAACGGAACCTCCAGCTTCCGCCCAAAATTTCCGGAAGTTCCTAGGAGGTTCCGCCTGAAAAATCCGGAACCTCCTTGGAACTTCCGAAAATTCTGGGCGGATCTTACTTCCGCCTAAAATTTCCGGAAGTTCCTAGGAGGATCCGGAAACTCCAGGCGAATCCTCCCATGTAGATCCGGAATTTTTGGGCGGAACTTCAGGTTTTTATTTTATTTTTTTCCGTGAATAATATGCTTTTTTAATTTTTTATTGTTAATTTAATTATTATTTTTTTTTGTTATTTTTGTTGTTATTTTGAAGTGTTATCTTTTTTTTTGAAGCATATTTTGTAGTGTTATTAATTTTTAAAATATGATTAGTATTATTATTATTATTGTTGATATTAGGGTTTTTATTATTATTGTTATTATGGTTAATGTTGTTGTTAAATTTATTTTTTGTTGTTTGTTGTTATAATAATATTATTATTATTGTTATTAGTAGTACTATTATTATTATTTTTAATTATGATTAGTATTATTGTTGTTGATATTAGTGTTATTATTATGGTTATTGTTGTTGTTGTTGTTGTTGTTAATTTTATTTGTTGTTGTTGTTATTATTGTTATTATGGTTATTGTTGTTGTTGTTAACTTTATTTTTTGTTGTTGCTGTTATTATTATTGTTATTATGGTTATTGTTGTTGTTGTTGTTGTTAATTTTAAATTTTTTTGTTGTTGTTATTATGATTATGATTGTTGGTGTTGTTGTTTTGATTATTGTTGTTATTATTATTATTATTATTATTATTATTATTATTATTATTATTACTAAAATCGGATTTTGTACTTATTTTATGTAGATCGAGGGTTCTGGTGCTCGACATGCAATATCACGACGTCTGAATTCGTTTGTTAGGAGACAATCATCTTGTTCAGCACCGCTTCAGCCCGAGCAGCAATACGGGTCTACTAGTGGTTGGTCGGGAGACCCACAGTCTGGTAGTAGTCGGCCCTTGTACTCTGCAAGTGGAGCACCCATATCTGACGAGGAAGACAAATGCTCGGCTAGTCATGCTGATGGCCGTGATAAAGAACCGGACCCTCGGGATTACCATACGGTATATAGGGGTCAGTTTGGGAGATTTGTTGGTAGTGGATCGAGTCAGCCTACTACCAGCTCTGCAGAGGCATGGTTAGTGCAGGAACCGATGCAGGGTGGTCCTGAGGATGGGACTATTATCCCTAGTTTTGGTGGTCACGTGGCACGATATATCTGGATCGAGCAGGAGCGTAGTGTTTTGCGCTGTTTGAGTAGGACAAAGTTATGTTCTAACTTGTTTACTTGGCGAGGTCGTCAATCTGTGGAGGACCTCGGGGCGATTGATGCTAGTTGGTTGTCTCACTTGCCCGCCCTGATGTTTAAAAGACTTGATTGGCCGCTGATTTCTGCTTTTGTTGAGAGATGGCAGCCAGATACGAACACCTTTCATATGCCATTTGGGGAGATTACGATCTTGCTGCACGACGTGTACAACATACTTGGGTTACGTGTCGAAGGCAATATGGTCACCACTACTCCTAGCACGGACGTGTTACGGGACGCGTGCTCGATCACCATGGATATGACTCCAGATGATTTGTCTGAGATTTGCGGCACAAAGACAATTTGGCAGGGTAGTGGGGTGTTGACTGATAAGATTTTTGAGTCGACATTGGCGGTTGACCGGGAGTTTAGTGATCAGCTTAATGGATACTTGTGGTTAGTGCTTGGAGGTACACTGTTTGTAGACAAGAGTGGTAACCGTACGCATCCTTCCTTCCTCCACGAGCTATGTTATATGGATGTCCCTATTAACGAGTATGCTTGGGGAACAGCTGTACTGGCTTACTTGTATCGACAACTAGGCACGACATCACGGAAAGGTGCTGATTCGATTGCTGGTTGTCTCACGCTTCTGCAAGCATGGATTTACGAGTACTTTCCGTGCTTTCGGCCACAGCAGGGTACCTTGACCCGGGACCTTCAAATGCCTCGTGCGTCTGCTTGGGATGTTGGAGCGGGACGTCCTAGCAAGAACCTGGAGCGCCTGTTATCTTTTCGTACTAGAATTGATGCACTTACTGACCGTGAGGTGAACTGGCTACCGTACGGAGCTGATCCTGCATTACGAGTGCCCCCCACTTTATTCATTAGCTGCATCCAGTATCGTAACATCATTGAGCCGTACATTCCTGATAGAGTGGTGCGACAGCTTGGTTTCGTGCAAGGCGTTCCCCGCAAGAATCAGGCCAGAGAAGGCCAAGAGGCCGACTAACTTGAAAATGTATCGGGTAGACTTCCCGACCGAGATGACAGATGTGATGTGGAAGAGGTTTGTCCCTAGGGTATCTCAGAGTGTAGTTTTAGGTGCCCTCACCAGGCTTAGTGCTACAGCTCCTTCGGTTGCGCCTGGTTACATGCAGTGGCTGTACAGGTTTTCTCACCCGCGGGTATCTCCAGGTGCAGGAGTTACAAGCAACCTACCTGAGCGAACTAACACTGATTATGTAAGTATTTATGCTTATTATAATATTAACAATGACTTCTATAAACTGGACACTTATTTATTTTTATATTTAATGTTTTGTTGCATATCATGTTAGATTAAAAGCAAGTACATTTCAAATTAATTTCATAATTCTAATTTTCTTACAAGTGTTCAAAGTTAGTGAATGTACATTACAAACTACCTAACTAATGCATCCCACATGTCCCTTCTAAATTCATATTGTTGATCCCATCCATTAACACTATCCTCGTGGTGTTCAGTCCACCAATCGGCGATCGGCGGGAGAGGTGAATCAGGTACAAGGTCAAGACGGATGAAATGTGATCCACCAACTGTAGCAATCACAAACTCTCGACTCGGTGTCCGAACCCCGTTGCGTGCCCTCAGCGGTAAGACTATGATGCATGGGTAGTAGCAAGTTGGTACTACGCCTACCCCGAGACAAATCACCCTTGCGTTGAACCACGTAGCAATAGGAAATAAATCTTGAATTGCAACCATCCAATGCCGCTCCCCGACAGCCCCACCATCCCATCGAATACGCTCTACGTTCATCCAAAGTCGTCCAAGCCCGTAAATCCGTTCGTACAAATCAGGATGACCGGCGATCTCGTTCGCTATTGTTTCCCGAGCGTCAAACCACAGCGCCTGATCGCCAAAGAAGAAGTCGGCGACACAACGAAAGCCACAGTTCCCATCACCAATGACATCCTTTCAAGACAAAATGTACGACAACATTGGCCCTGAAAGCAAGTTCAAATACCTGCATTGACTAATGTCACTCGGATCTACAACACAAAATTAAAAGATAAATTATTGGTAAAGCTACAAGTATTAAGTTTACATATATTAATATTACATATATTATTCAAAATCAATAGAATTTTAATATTACTTGGTTCTGGATCACCACCACGTTGAGTGTGTTGACGGTTCACATGCTCGAAATAACTTCGATCACGCCTGGTGTCATTGTTCCTCGGTCGACCACGAGTGTTAAGGTTGACATGTGGTTCTTCAAGGTGTGTATGGTCTGGATGTAGCTCCTCTTCAATGATTTGCGTTACATTTTGACGTACGGTCGGATCACTTTCCATGACTTCATCAATTAGGGATCGAAAATGTGCAGCCTCCTCGGTCGAATCATTAACCACTTCAGGAATGTTAACACCATCACCAATAACCAGTGTCTTCCAGAAAGAATGAATTTGGCTGCTATACAATCATGTCTGTGCAACTATCGAATCATGTATCTGGCAAGCACATGGAAGACCATGGGTCACACGCATAGCACATCCACGACGTTCATAGACCTAGTAACTCAAATCCCGCATCCTTTTCGTCTCGTTATGCAGTTCTTTCAAGCAATGTTGAGACACTTTGCCATTTATACGTGATAGTGGCAACTGTCTGTACATCTCACTAATTTTAGACCTTGATGCCTCCAACTCATTACGAATTTGTATGATTCGATTACCGATATGACAATGGACTCGGGCCCATACGGTATCCAAATAACCTGCCAATGATTCAAATTAGTAAATGCATTTTAATTTTTTTTTATTACGATTACAATTACGTAACAACGAGAACAACTAATAAAATAAAACAACTAACCTGTGGATGATTCAAACCAAGTTTTCACTGCTGAACGTTGGCTCTCAACTCTACAGTTGGTGGTGTTACCAAAGTGAAGAACCTGGTTCGTCCAATATTTCACAAATTTCTCCTTATGACAAAGCCATGTTCTCTGAACATACTGAATCACTGCCGGATATTTTCCCCACCTCACTTGCATGGTAGCTAGAGCATGATCATACTCCGCCTGTGTTGTTGCATTCACGATTTTGAACCATTTTCCATTTCTAAAACTGACACCAACCTTCTTGTTACCAAACATCTTCGTCACCTTAGCCTCCACATCTCTGTTGATGTGCCATATACAGAGTAAATGTGACGTCCATGGAAAGACTTATCTCAAAGCCGCACATAGCCCAAGATCACGGTCTGAAATAAATACAGATGACTCTTTATCAAACCCAATCAACTCCCTTAATCTAGTTTTTTGATTTTTCTAAATATTATTGGTTTTAAAAACGTTGTTGTTGCTATTTTTCTGATTTGTTTTCTAATTTGCTAGTTATTAAGCTAGTGCTCATTTAAGGCTTTTATTATTATTATTATTATTATTATTATTATTATTATTATTATTATTATTATTATTATTATTATTATTATTATTATTATTATTATTATTATTATTATTATTATTATTATTATTTAATGTTAGTGGTAAAATTGGAACTTCGAGTCAAAATGCGAGCGTTACCCTGTAAAATGGGAGCGACGTTTAACAACCCCTTTTAAAATTTGAGACATAACTCACATAAGGTGGTACTCCGTATGTAATACTCTCACGGTGTTTTAATAAGTGTTACATTTTGACTTTT